TATATATAGAGATACACACACACACACACAACAAGTAATAATCCAAATATCAACACTCAAGCGACAAAACTGAATTATACATAGTGTGCAGAGTTCTATATACAATGTTCAGAATATCACAGAGTTCATTTCAAGCAAGACAGTCATAAAACACTTCTTAAAACACAAGAACCAGTACAAATTATCACAGTTTGCAATATACAAAATTAAAGAACACATGCAGAAGTTTTATATCAAGGTCCTTGACTCGAAATCAAGAAAACCCTCAGCCAGACAACTCTTAGGGTTTCTGGACAAAGGGATTGCCAAGAAGAGTTTCAGACCCAAGTTTTAAAAAACGTTTTGCAAGAAGACGTTAAAGTATAAGCAACAAATTTGTACAATACATGTGAAATCGGAATGAACTCACCAAATCCCTTTATTAAAAGGCAAACTGAATCAGGAGTCAAACTTTTAGATCTACACAGATCGAAGCTAAGAACCGCCGTATGAATGCTATGATACCACTGTAACGATGAAGTTCAAAATGATCAGCCACTTTCAACCAACAAAACAGAAATAAATGTGTAAAAATCAATGAGAAAAAGATAAAGAATACAAGATTTTTCATCCTAAGGCAAGAGGTTCAAAGTTGGAGTTCCTAATTCCCTTTTGAGCTTCCGCCAATAAGAAAAAATCACTATATTAACAGGAACCAAACACTGTTCAGAATACACCAGGCACTCAGACGAAATCACCCAAGATTACATCAAAGAGGAAAAACCCTCAAACTGATCGAAACAACAATCCACTCAAAGATACAACAATAGCCCTTTACAAATCACTCAAGATCTATACAAGAGACTATACATATTATTGATCTAAAAGAAGGCTTCCAATTTTTGGGAGTGCAAAACAGAGAAGACGAGAGAGTACAGAGAACACAGAGAGAGTTTGAGAGAATGAATAGCAAAACTCAAACCCTAGTATATGAGAAGTCTCTAGAAGGTCTCCATCCAACAGTCATTGGGGCGACACTTGACGACATCTCATCCATCCAACTATTAGTAAAAATGCATAAAGATAAAACAAGCTTATAACCGAATAAAAAATAGAAGCCACCAAGTTATCCAGTAACAACAATCCAGCCCAACGAGAATAATCCAGCAAGCAAACCAACATACCGGCCCAACTCAATAATACAATCATGTTCCAACAGTATCATCATTGTGCCATTTCTCCACGCGGAACTTAATCCTTGGCATTTTTTTTCTCCATAGGAATGCTTTTCCTTGGTTAAATATATTTATAACCTACCTAGGGTTGTATAATTTGAAAAGTTGGATCAATACTTGAATAGTAGGATTGGAATGAATGGCTAAAATAGAAAAATAACTTTTGCACATACGAAGCACATAATTAATTTATTACTGGAAGAATTAACTACTCATTTTGTTGCCCCTTACTAGGCAGAAGCCTTGCCTGAAGTTATTTGTGCTCGTCTATTTTTTTAAAATTACAGCATGATACTATTTTTGCAGTCGAGAAACATTGGATTATATGGATGTTAAAGTTGACCAGTATGCTGTAAGTTCGTTTTTATGTTCTTCAATTCAAGTTGATGTCGGTTAGTCTCGTGAGAAGCGTTTTCCTTGGCAGATTGCAGCTCTGGGAATTTGTTGGGGATCTTTCAAATCCTCTCCTAGTTTTGCCGCTTCAACCAGCTTCATCATCAGCTATTATCAGCGCTGATAGAAACATAGTGTCTGATTTTCCAAAATCAAGCAATCTTCTTGGTTATGATATCAGGCTTTTGATAAATCTTTGCTTGACAAATTGAAAAAGGTTTGATTTAATGCCTTGAAGCTTTTACTGGTTCAATCTGCATAAAATATTTTCGTGTTGTCTTTCATTTCAAGGTGTTGAAAGATTGAATTGAATGTGGTGTCGATATTCACTTCACTTATCGGCCGAGGCCTATGAAGTATAATCCAACAAAAAAAAACGGTTTACATCATCGCCCGGATTTATTGGGTATCAAAAAATCCTACAGATTATATGGATGTTAAAGTTGACCAGTATGGTGTTTTGGGCTTGTCATCTGGTGAAGAAGGTGCCATGCTTTTGGATAAAGAAATTACAAAGGCCTATCAATTGAAGTCCAGGGAACTGTACCGGCCCGGACAAGAGGCGTGATGACCAGAATGCACATTCTGATTTTCAGAAGCTTCAAACATCTTATGAGGTTCTGAAGGATGAGAAGACTAGGAAGTTATTTGATTATCTACTTCGGGTGAAATGGGAAAAGTTTCAATGCCAAGCACAGCAAAATTCCAAGCGGCAGAATATAATGTCAGATCTTGAAGTAAGAGAGTGATTAGCTGTTTCCCTTTCCCCCAGCACGAGAACTCGAGAAGATTGAAGACGTGATTTCTAGGAAGCTGAAAGAGGAGATTGCACAAATTCGTGCTATGCATACTAAAAAGTTTCTGCCGATACAACACTTTCAAAGAGATATACAACAGCAAGGGAGATAGGTAGTTCGGATGGTGGAGGTTATGTCTTAGACAAAGACAAGGTTCTTAAGGTTTCATTGGAGAATATTGGTGAAGACTATACACCTCAAAGATTTGGGGAAATATTTGGAACTAGGGAGTTTCAAGAAGAAAGGATCAGCTCGTGTCGTAATGGCATCCAAGGATGCGGCTTGAAGTTTGGTTTTGTGTTCTTCAATTCAAGTTGATGTCGGTTAGTCTCGTGAGGAGTGTTTTCTTTGGCAGATTGCAGCTCTGGGAATTTGTTGGGATCTTTCAAATCCTCTCCTAGTTTTGCCGCTTCAACCAGTTTCATCATCAGCTATTATCGGCGCTGATAGAAACAGTTTCTGATTTTCCAAAATCAAGCAATCTTCTTGGTTATGATATCAGGCTTTTGATAAATCTTTGCTTTGAAAAAGGTTTGATTTACTGCCTTGAAGCTTCTACTGGTTCAATCTGCATAAAATATTTTCATGCTGTCTTTCATTTGTAACAAGGTGTTGAAAGATTGAATTGAATGGTATAACTCAAACTTCTGGATTTTCTGCTTGAACTAAAATGTTTACACCTGATGGTGAAAGCACCAAGAGCAAGGTAGCAAATACTAAGTGGCCTTTGTATTTTACGGTAACGGGCAAGTATGCCATTGTAAAGAGTTTTATTGGGACTAGTTTCATGATAAGACTAAATTATAGAGCTTTGTTATGGTGCTCGAATAAACAGACCAAAGCCTTTAAATAAGGTGAGTTAATGATTAATTTTTATAATGTAAGGAGCATATATAGAGTCATATAGATTAGAAGAAGATTGCAGTTTCATAATATGATAGTGAAATAAGGTCATACTCCTTTTGTTCTCTTCAGGACCTACCCTTTTCTGGTTTTAAGAAGAAGATAAATAGTTGGTTAGTAGCCACAGCAACAAGAAGGTAATGGGTTCTCGCGGTCTATGACTAGTCAGGGGTGAAGCAAGTTGTTGGAGAATATTAGAAGAAAGCAATGTTCTGTCTTGGACTTATTTGGCTCCTCATGCATGTTGCGGTTTTTTTATATTGCAAGTGTACGATATCGTAACAAGTAATATAATGGACATTTGTGTCCGAACTATACTTTAATACTTAATTTAATATTTCTAATTATTATTTGACGAAAATAGCGGGATGCACACAAATATCGATTTAGAATTCAAATAAGGAATGAGATATTATGACACAACAATTTCATTGATTGGCCACTTTTAAATCTTGATTCAAGATTCACAATATGATGTAGTGTTCGATCGAATTTTTTCATTGAGCCTATTTAATTAATTTTATATCTTTATGTGAATCAATCTTAATTAAATGAAATATTAGTTCTAAGAATTCATTTAATGATCGCAATAATTAGTATCGGTATCTCTACATGTTATACTAAATTATCGAATTTTAATAAGTGGTCTAAATCTAAAAATCACATCTCGGTTCGTAAAAGATTCACAAAATCATTGAATTATTGATTAAGTAATTCAAAGTATTAAATACTTTCATAAAATCAACACATATAAGATAAAAGCATTTGAATTTTAAATATAAGAAACAAGGGGACTCAATTCGATTACATCGTCCTAATGAAAAACTTAGTTACTCATAACGTATGAAGAAAAACAAATGACAATAATGGAGTATATCACCGGGTTTTGATTTGAAACGTAAAGAAGTAGACTAATCTTGCACAAAGTTCCTCTTCTTGCCTCCAATCTTGATTCCAAATCCTAGCTCTCGATTTGTTTGTTTTTTTTCCCTTCGATTTTCACTCGAATTCTCAAGTTGTATCTTGTGCCTCTCAATGTGTGGAACCCCCCAAAAGTCCATCAATTCTTGTATTTATACTCCTCCCCACGTTTGTGTTAAATGTAGGTTTTTATAGGCTTCAAAATGGTCTTAAAAAAGGCACCCTAGAAGTGTTTCAGGTGGCGCCTCGTCACCACTCGTCAATTTCCTTGTGGCGCTGCGGCCACGCCTCTGTCCAGCCTTTTTTTTCAGGGGTGCCGAGGCACCACTCTTTTGTCCTTCTTGCTGTTTTTGTGGCACCCCGGCGCCACCTTCTCGGGTGGAATTCTTCTTTTGTTCTTTTGGTATTATAAATGGACTATTTTACCATTTTTCTTTCATTTTCTTTTGATTCCAAACCATTTGTTTTTTCCACTTTTACGATCATTAACTTCAACTCATCAAACCTATAAAACAACACTAATAAACACATTAAAAACGTTCAATACTTATAAGATCTAGTCAGTAATCAGGTTAAAATGGTATATAACTCGTGAGTAAAACACACTCGTCAATGCATATGCATTTATCAATGATCAACCTGGATGCAAGCCTCGAAGAGCAACATTATAATTCATATTATCATCATCTAATCTGCTTGACATTTAGGTTACTTCAATCATTCATTGCTTCCAAAATTGTTATTGGAGCCTGTAACTTGAACTTTTAATGACATGTGAGAACAGTATTGTTTATCCATTGAGAATCTGAACAATCGTTTTCTTCTCACTTTAGTTTAATCAAGTCTGCAGACTTTGAAAGAGAGAACTGCTTGCCCATTGTTGACTGGGTTTAGGCAAATTGTTCTCAGCTACGCTTTAGGGGAATCTTAAAAGGTAAGAGAGCTGCTGGGCCGCCTGCTTTTTTACTCACCTGACTAAGATTTTCTAAAGTTGAGTGCCAAAGTTCCCTCATGTCTCGTATCATCAGTAAATTCACACACAGAAGATAGAGGCCATAATTAAGAGGCTGAATTGACTGAGCAAATCGGCGGTACGTACTTCTTACATGGATTTTTTAAACATAAATGATGCAAAATTGAAGACTTTGGAATGGCGATTCTTTATTGAAATTAGCTCAACTCATATGTCCTATTCTCAACTAAACATTAAACCGTCCAAGCAACCATAAATTCCAGAAATGAGAGACCTTATATATGTCAAGTAAATCTCAGGTACTACTATATTTACTGAAGAATCAAATATAAATGTCAAGATCAGAATAGGTCTTTAGGTATGTAAACTCTACATCTAACAGCGAAACACACGCACAGAAAAAAAAGAAAGGAACATTTTATTTTTTCAAGAAAAAATTGAACTTTCCCAGTTAAAATATCAAGGGAATAAAACCAGTAAAGTTAGAGTTCTTCAGGTATGCTGTAGAGAACAGGCGTCCAAGAACCTCGGCTTCTAACCTTCACTTGGGTGGCTCTCAATACATGCCTTCTGCGCATGAAATTCAAGCGCTGTTCCAGAGACATAGATGGAGTGAATTGACGTGGAATCCCTCTGCAATCTCTAATCACCTCCACCACTTGCTCTAGATCTTCCTTCTTCACCCGGATTTTCATCTTCATCGATCCATTTTCAGAAGTTTGGCAAACAGCTTCTCCACCATTGACCTGTGCAATGGCATTCAAAATGTTACTCACTGCTGCCTTGTGATTTCTACCTCTTGAAACCCTGAATTCTCTTCTCTGCCAGGACTTTTCTTCTGCAACTTTCAACTCCATTTGCTCCTCTCTCGACTTCTCAACGTTTGTTTTATGGTTTTAGGTTGTTCTTGCCTATGGATGTTGACAACTTTTATACTGACCTCATGCCAATTAAATTAATAGCTTGGCAGAGTTCGGTTAATTGAATATCGATTATGACTTAGGCTGACAACTTTCATTTTGTCTGAGTGTCAGTGTGTGCATGTTAGCATTTGACTTTGGCCGGTCACCTAAGCTATTCTGTTTTTTTTTTTTTTGGTTGACGTAGGAACTAGCAGCCGCTACTTGCCAACAGAGCCTCGACCACCCCGAAGGGGCGGAGGCCCAATCACTATGAGTGCGCACTAGAAAAACCCCGCTCTATGTGCAGTAGCCCACAAACCACACAGAAGAAGTAAACTGCACTAGGCAAGCCCGTTGAGACGGATTTGATTGAGGAAGTGTTAGCAGGGGATTCGAACTCGTGACCTTTGGTCTCCGCGTTCACCTGCTCCACCAACACGACCAACCTCGAAGGGGCGTCCACCTAAGCTATTCTTGAATGGGATAAAGATGTACATAATTTAGGGGAGGTTGTACGTGTCCACTTTTAATTTTGTTAACCATCTCAAAATTCAAAGCTATCTAAAAAATTTATTTTCGACTTCCATTTTTACTAATTGGATTTTTCTTGTAATTTTCAATGATATTATGAAGGCACTTCGGTACATTTTAACGAATAAGAATCGATTTCTCCCTGTCAAATAAAACAAGAAGCATCAATATTCATCCTTGCGTGTAATTGACTGGCTGGCTGGCTGGCTAATAATGCATTAAATGTGATATTTTAATTATATATTAATTTATATATACCAATATCATTTGTTTACCAACCCGTCACATGCAAATCCATGTTTTGCGCAGGTAGAAATTGGATTAAAAATAAAGGCTATAAGTTTGGTGGAAGATATAGGATCAGCTTGATGGAGCTTTTGAAAAGTTAAGGGCATGTTCTCTTTATTATTTTCAAGTTGTTTTTTGTTTTCGATTTTTCAAAATAGTGAAAACGCGTTCTCTTTCCTATTTTCAAAAACGCGTTTTTTAAAACAAGTTAAAAATTTACAAAGAAAATCCAAAACGATTGTCGTTTTGAGTGTTTTCAGTTATAATTTAGCCAAAATTTTCAAAACAATTTTTAAAAATGGCAAAAAAAATACGTTTTTAACAATTTCAAAACAGACATTCAAAACACAAAATCCAAAATGAATTCAAAACTAAATACACAAAGCTGAAATACGATGAGAACAAACCCTTAAAAGTTTTTCGAAATTGTTTTTGAATATATTTTTATTATTTTTTTCAAGTACTTTGATTGGTTAAAAGAGCTTATAAAGGAAACGTAATTTCCTCAGAAAACTTTTCTACAAGAAACAGCGCAGAGTAGAAGTCTGATCAAATGGGTCCATACTTACGTGTTGTGATTTAGGTTAATTAGTCAAGGCGTACAATATAGAATTAATGATGATAAAGAAAATATGAAGGTGGCTTTCAAATAGAAAGTCGGTGAGATGAGTATGGGCGTTAGTTTAAATGCTTAGCTAGCGGATAGTTGAACAATGATGCTAACAGCCTGTCTCAATGACTATATCTTTAATAATTAATTTTTTTTAGTTATCGGTGGAATAGAAAAATTAAACCTTAGAAGTTTAATGATATTTGGACTATGATACCCTAAAGATCAATCATAGCGCACCAGGGCACGGAACATCTCAAGGAAAACAAATTATATATCGATGGTTCTTATAGAGCAAAAATCGTCAAATTCAAATTGTCTTCTCAAAATTGTCAGTGTTATGTCCCGTATATAAAATGATTTTGAACTTACTAAACCTTCATCTTCTGCTGCAGATGTCGAAAGTCCAGAGGGCACCGCAAAACCAATCAATTTTTACTATTTTATTGTGAGGGTCGTGAAGGTCTTGTTGAAGAGCATCGAGTTATATTATGACATGATAATTTATTTAATAGAGTTATATTGTAAATGTGTAAATTCATATTAAACTTTTGTTTTTATATGGGTTTAACCTTTTTATATGGGTTTAACCTAAAGTATCTATTGCTTTAAAGTTATGTTTTCCAACAACTATCGAAGTCTTTTCACCATCGTAAGTGTTGGGAAAGAAAAATGCTGCTTGTACATAAAAAAGTGTACATCAAAATCTACATCCCCTCANTTATGGATTCCATGAAATATGTTATTAAAATTAATTGTTAACTTTGATTTAGATTAAGAGCCTGTCTGCTAAAAATGTTATGGTGCTAGACAGTAAAATTCCAACCGTTGAAAACCCACTCACAGTCGTAGAAATTGACCGGCCATCTCACAGCTGGGCCCCATCTTGCCTCCAAACGGTAAGAAAATTGCCATACCAACGGTCAGAATTGTGATCTTAATTCCCTCCAGACACACTCTAAAATTTAAATTTCAATCGATACCAAACGTGATTTTAAAAAAAAATATATATAGAATCTCAAAAGTTGGGGGCACCTTCCCCCCTAGGACCCCCCTGGGTCCGCCCATGGTCGTGAAGGTCTTGTTGAAGAGCATCGAGTTATATTATGACACGATAATTTATTTAATAGAGTTATATTGTAAATTTGTAAATTCATATTAAACTTTTGTTTTTATATGGGTTTAACCTAAAGTATCTATTGCTTTAAAGTTATGTTTTCCAACAACTATCGAAGTCTTTTCACCATCGCAAGTGTTGGGAAAAGATCGGGGAAAGGAATACCTATCCAAACAACTTACAAACTAACCTGGAACAAAGTAATGCTCCTTAATATCTCCTTCTTTGTATGGAGAGTATGGAACCAATGGATTCATGCTGAAAGTTGTGAAGAACAGGATGCAAATCACCTTGGCATTTGTAAAGGATCCGAATTAGGGAAATTTATAAGAGAAAATTACCTTAACTCCTTCAAATTTAAATATCAAGTACTAATTTTTTTTCCCAATAATAAGGTTATAATTATTTTCTTAACTTAGGAGCATATATAAACCCAACTACAACCATACCTACTCCACTTTTCTATGTATATATTATACATTGCGCGTGGGTCATACACTGTTGCATAGTAAATATCTTCTCTCTGTTTGCAGTGGTGTTCGCGGTGGTGGAGCAGCCCGAGTCATGTGTTGGTGGTTTTGTGGCAATGGATGTGGTTTTTCGATCTGTTTCCGTCAGGGTTGTTAATTGTGACCTACAAATTTTCTTATATGTGACCATTAAAAAATATGTGACCAACTAATTTGGAAATCTGTGATCTGCAAATAAACTATGACCGAAAATTAATTTTTAACTAATTAATTAGATATATGTGATCAAATTCCATATAATTGTGACCTTAACAATTGTCGGAATCGGAGCAGTTGTCGAAATTAAGCAGCGGCAGAACAGTTACCAAAATAGTCGTCGAAATTAAGCGCGGTCGGGGAACAGTCGCCGGAGATCGTCGGTCGCCAGAACAGTCGCCGGAGGTGGAGGTGGAGGTGGAGGTGGAGTTGGGGTGGGGTGGGGTGGGTTAATTATATTATATTACAGTTAAATATTTAATTTAATATAATAATTGTGAAATATAATTAATTAATTCATGAAAAACCTGATTTTTGCAATTCTAAACTTTGGGGACTGATTTTTTATTTTGGGNGTGGAGTTGGGGTGGGGTGGGGTGGGTTAATTATATTATATTATATTACAATTAAATATTTAATTAATAAATAAATACCTGATTTTTGAAAGTTTGAAACTTAACACCTGATTTTTGCAATTGTCAAAGTTAACACATGATTTGTGAACTATTCCCTAAAATTTTCGTATAAGTAAATAGGCTATTTGGGCCCATGAATTTCTCGCCCAATAAGTATTGTCACGAGGACCGACAGATGATGGCCCAACAACCACTTTCCCAAACGCTCCATGTGCAAAAGATAGGGGAATATGCAATAATTACCCTTATCATCTTTCGTTTCTAAATATTTAATATTTGGTGTCCGCTGAAAATCTCTTCTACTGTGCCTATTCTCGAATCAAAGTTGCCTGGCATAAGAGACTCTGAATTTATTAATGGTAACATTGCCAATGAGGTATGGACATATTTTAGCATCATGTTCAACCTACGAGTCCACTCCCCCAAATTCTCAAGGCCTATTCTCTTGGATAATTTCTTCATAAATTTCAAACCCTATCCTCTTGGAGTATTCAATCTGTGACCCCTTTTCTCATTTATTGGTATTTGGGTTGAAAGAAACAACTCCAAATACTCTGGAGTTCAAATGAAGTGCCTTACTAGTGATTAAAAGAGTCAAGCATTTAGTTCATTGGTTAGGAGCAGCGTGCTTATCCGTCCACATTGCTGGGTTATCTCTCCCCTTGTGCATAAGGCTACGGAGTCAAGGAGGCTAGAGGGACTTTTTGGAAAAGGAAGGTTAAGAGGATTGCATTGACGACCATCGTCTACCAATTCGGATGGCAAAAAATAGGAGAATTTTTGAGAATCTAACACCACATGTGGATAACATTGTTAAATGAATCAAAACACATGTTTACAAAGTTATGTTTTCTTTGTATCCAAAGGTTTTGTTTCAACTTTTGTAGTGGGTCTTTAAATCATATCGTTATACATCTTTCTTTTGTTGTTCGGATATGTTCGGAGTAATTGTATGAATCATTTTGTCTTTGTTTTTGGTATGTTCGATATACTTGTATATAATTTTTTATCAATCCGATTCAAAATTCATAGTTGGATCCAGATAATGTGAGTGAGTGAGTGACTAATAGAACATATTCAGATGAAGAATCTACATCGGAAGTGGGCCGACATAATTAATCATACGATTCATCTCGTGACCCTGGTCTGCTCGGGTAGGTACAAGATTCACTCTCTGAACTTGAAAATTGATTTTTCGGGCAGGCAGGCACGTGGTAGACACAAAAACCAGATTCATGGCATGCAAACTTTTTAGTGTTCGGTTCTGTAGCCGTACATATGTCTGAATTCAATAACCAGATCTAATTAATTTACAACCCATCATGTCAGGAAGGAGTATAGAGATGTGCAATGAATGGATCATGTGTGCGCAACAAATCTCGTACTATTTGCAATCGCTCGCTATTATGATCATTATTGTAACTTATCATATTCGTCTTACATGACATACAGGACAATTAAACATAAAATCTTCAATAAAGATGCAAATTTCAAGTTTGGAGATCCACATTTCATCATGAATATTGAACTACGAATACTGCTATAGTCCAACTGGTGTTAAACACGAGTAAGTTATTTAGAACACTGTCCAGATCACATTATCACAACATAAGCAGCATGTAACATAACAAGTACATAAGAAACTGAGGATAAAAATAATTTATTGAAAATTCGTTTTCTTTACCAGAAATTTCATAAGACAATTAAGGCAGTCCAAGACTTGCTGCATCAATAGATTAAGGAAAACAAGTTTCTACCATAGATAAACTTTAAAGAAGAACAAAAACGATGAAAACTATTCAAATAAGCAACAACTGACTTAATTAATTTCGGGCTTTTTGCATAGAATCATGTGCATAGGAGTGAAAATTCCAGTCTCACCGCCTCTAGTCAGGTAATCCGCAGTGACAAAAAGCATTTCGTGGACGTCAACAACACCCTTCGGAGCAATACCAACCCAAGCAAGAATTGTCACTAAAATGTGATTCCTCCAGTAAGCAATCCTCCCCATTTTAAGTCTGCTCCACCATGGATTTGCAGGTGGCTTGGCCAAATCCTTCTCTTTTATCACTTCAAATCCCACTTTTTTCGCAACCTCTGCAATGTCTTTGTAACTCCTCAGTCCTGGTAGTGCATCGCCTCTCTCAATCCCCTGGATCACCTCCACGTGCTCTTGGTCATCCCCTCGGTACAATTCTGTGGTCACCCATTCATAGGAGACATACAAGGATCCGGGCTTTAAAACCCGATAGATCTCGCTGTACACTTCTTCCAATTTTGGTGCATGGCAAGTGGCTTCAATTGAATAGGCTCCGTCAAAACTGTTATCATCGAAGGGCATCTGGAGGAAATTACCACAGACAACCTCGCATTGTTTGTCAAGCCCGGCCTTTTTGTTGTGCGTCCGGGCCCGATTTACTTGATATTCGTTGATAGTGATTCCGACTACATTAGCCCCCGAATGGGCTGCAATCGCCCGCATCGGGCCACCTACACCGCAACCTGCATCGAGAATACGAGCACCCGGCTTCAAATCCAAGAGATCCACGGCCATCTCCTCGTGGATACGGGTCGCCTCGCGGTGAGATTTACCAGGAATCGAAGGAGAGAAATGGAAAGATTGACCCCAACCCCATTCATAAATATCAGTCACCAGATTGTAAAATGTGTCCACGAAGGCAGGCACATTCTCGGCTTTCTCAATTTCTTTGGGACGGCGGAAAAAGGACCAGTACTGGTCGTAATTGTCCTGGACCTTTTCCTTGGCGATGGAACCACCAGAGAGTTGGACGGCACGCTTGCCCTTCTGTTCGGCAGAGCCGAGGATGCAGACAAACCAGTAAAGGCCCCCGACTAAAAGAGAGGCGGTGCAAAAAAGAGTGAGGAAATCCATAGACGATAGAAGAGAAGAAGAAAAGGGAGTGTGCAAAGTCAATGTAGGGAGTGAAAGGGGAACTATAGATATTTTTTGTGTGTAGTGCAGGGTGGTGGATTTTGTGTATGATTGTTAACGTGGGGTCCATGGGGCTATAGTTTTTAATTATGTTATTTATTCAAACAATGGTTCATAATATCGATGTTGTCAAAATTATGACTATTGATTTAAAAAATAATTTTTGAAATAAATGAATGTTATATTGTCAAGTATGAATTATCAATCAATATTATCAAACTAAATTGTACATGTAGCATGATTTCGATATTTTTAGTGTCAATCACATCACAACACGTATGTGTAACGTCGCTTGCTCCTTTTTCGTGATTATCGCATCTATTTAGATTAATTTCATAATGTTACATTTAATGTTAAGTTAATATAATTATTTTCGTCTTTCTATGAAACGTGGTTTCACAGAGGAAAACCAGATACACACAATGCAGGGGTGGGCTTTTTTTTATTTTTTTTAATTCCGATGGGCCCCACACGTGAGTAAGGGTAAAACTTTTGTCAAAATTTTTTTCTGTACATATGGTTTAATCCAAATATAATTGTAGTGGGTTATACAGTGAACGCCATTGACAATCAACGTGCCTATTACTTTAATTATGAAATGTATATAATTTTATTAAACTCAAATTTAATTATAATATATTTATGTTAATATGTGCTTACGAGTATTCTTTCTTATTTATTGAACCTAAACCTCGAATGGAAATATTTTCCTTCTTTTATTCTACACATATTTTGTGCAAATCAATTGAAAAAATATTAAATGAATAATTACTAATGAAAGTTATAACTAATAGAATCCCATTAATGACTAAATCGGTTAATAGGAATAAATGATAGGTCTCATTAGTTATTCAACATAAATTATGTATGTCTATCTATCTGTCTATCTATCATTATGTTAAAAAAAAAAAAAAAAGTGAAAACTTAATTATATAATCACCTCCTTACGTATAAGGATGTCAACGAGTCGAGCCGACTCGCTAGCCAAAACTCGAGGTTCGGGACCTGCTTGAGTAAAAATGGGTTAAGTTTTTTTTTGTCCAAATCCAGCTGAACTTTTATTTGATAAAAAAATCTAGACTCAACCCGAGCCGAGCCGGCTCAAGACCTTTTTTTTATTTACTTGTAGCCTGTAGAGGTTTGCCACAAGCTGCTTGAGCCACACGAGCAGGCTCGGACTCAGGCCGACGTCCCAAAATGGGACTCCATAAAATCGAGTAGACTCGAGCTTTTTTCGGACCAAGCCATGGGCCACACAAGCTAGCCACTCAAATTGACACCCCTGCCCCAATGCGTGCTGCTGCTGCTCAGTTACCTCTTCTTCTTCCACTCATATTCTTCAGCACCTTCCTTCGTATATATGCAATCGAGAATTACGAATGGATTTTGGAAATCTTGATTCTGTATGTGATTGTGCTACAGACCTAAGGAACTAATAATCAAGGGGCTGCAATTGGCTTTCTTCCGATTTTAACAGTAAATTAAAGTCACACTAAAAAAAAATTATTATACCTAATTATAAGTAGTCCAAGCAAGAAAAAATTGTTTTGTCGACTCCCATAGTTATGAATTTTATCTCTTCATCATATTCCACAAAAGCGATTACTCATATATTTCTGCGTACGAAAAAAATGTTTTCTCCTTATAAAGATTCAAGACAAGCTTTGGAGACTAGTACAAGAACATCCTTAAGTTGAGGAAATATTAAAGTTCTCTTTATACAAAGAAATAAAGGTATGGGGATTCAATTCAATTAGGACCCCAACAGCTCAAATACATAACTGTTCTCAGTGATTCCTCAGATTTCTTCAACTTCTGATCTTCCTTCATCTTTTTACATATAACTGTTGAAGAGGGTACTACTCCAGAGAGTCTCTTAGTCTGAGTGTATGATCTGAGGCTGTTCTTGGCATGTTGTTGCAGTAGCCTCATTGAATAATTCCATCTACAGAATCCCTGATCTTTCAGTGCCTCAACAGCACCAATGCTTACTCCCGCTAACCAAGCCCTGCTTGTGGAACTCATTTTCAGCTTCTTCTTTGTACAGATTCAGTGTTTGTTGCCAATGGATATGAATGGTGATGAAAAATGATGGGGAGAATATGAGGTGTTTATAAAAGAAACTGGAGGAGGTTTTGCCAGCAGAAAGGGAAAAGCCCCCAGTTTTAGCCGTTTAGGTGGTAGTATTATATCTATATGCATCAGGGATTGTGCCAATGAATTTAGACCAATTGGGGAGAAAGCAGATACATACCAACTCACATCATATGCCACTTGCATATTTAACAAGTGAATTTTTTTTTTTTGAATAAAGTAAAATATAGGGGTTTTTGTGCTTTGCCAGGCGCATGTGGCCCTGCCAGTAAAGCGAGGTCACAAATATAAGAAAATTTGTATTTGAGGTTCCAAATTTTTTAAAATATTGTAAATTATAACCAAGCCTTTCATTTTTTATAGTTGGACATGCTAATTGATTATGCGATACACCAAGTGAGCTGACGGCGACAAGACTAAATTTTTTTAAAAAATAAAATAAAATGGGATATATAATGAAAAAAAACTTTATTTTAAAGAAATTTATTTTCATATAATAAGCATGCATCATATCATGCGATTTGTTTACTAAACGCTAGTTCACCACATGTTATCCCTCTCCATTTTCAGATGATGAATGCAAGATAATTCGAGATGACGACTTATGATAACACATACTCAGTACTTTCATATTTAAATGTTAAATTAGTTTTTTTTCTTTTTTGGTATTAAACTTAACATTCAATTTTATTGTTCTATATTTTATTAAGTACAAATTATTTTAAAATAATAACTCATTGATTTTATTATGCCAAACAAAAATTTAATCATTTTTCACATATTCTTCAATAAAGTAATTTTGCACGTAAATCAAAAATTTTCTTTTTTAGCCACACATTCTCCCAAAATCATTATTCTAAAAAGCATTTTTTTTCCAAAACGGGGCTCTAACAAGGGCTAAGTGTCACTTATTTTTTAAAAAAAGTAAAACAATCTCACTTTTTAAAATCAAGTGTCACTTTTATTAAAAAAAAATAACATACAAGTTTGGTAGAACATATAAGATCAGCTTGATGGAGCTTTTGAAAAGTTAAAAGATTTTCCTAAAATTAAGAAATTGTTTTTGAATATATTTTTATTATTATTTTTTAAAAGTACTTTGTTTGGTTAAAACAAAGATATTTTTTGTGTGTAGTGTAGGGTGGTGGATTTTGTGTGTGATTGTTAACGTGGGATCCATGGGGCGATATTTTCAATTATGTTATTTATTCAAACAATAATGGTTGATAATATTGGTGTTGTCAAAATTCTGGATATTGATTTAAAAAATAATTTTTAAATTAGATGAATGTTATGTTATCAAGTATGAATTATCAATTAATATCATCAGACTAAATTGTACATGTAGCATGATTCCGATGTTTTTAATGTCAATCGCATCACGACACGTATGTGTAAGTCACTTGCTCCTTTCTATCACATCTTTCTAGATTAATTTCATAATGTTACATTTAATGTTCAATTAATATAATTATTTTCGTCTTTACTAATTATATTTTGTAGTGAGTTATCTATTGAATGTCATTGACAATCAACATGCCTATTACTTTAATTATGACATGTATATAATTTTATTAAACTCGAATTTAATTATAATATATTTATGTTAATATGTGCAATCTTTCTTATGTATTGAATTTAAACATCGAATGGAAATATTTTCCTTCTTTTATTCTACACACATATTTGTGCAAATCAATTGAAAAATATTAAATGAATAATTAATAATGAAAATTACAACTAATAGAATCACATTAATGACTAAATAAGTTAATATGAATAAATGATAGGTCTCATTACTTATTCAACATAAATTATATCTAATTAGCTATCATTATGTTTCAAAAAATGAAAAACTTAATTATATAATCACCTCCTTGAGTTGAGCAGATTCAGGCTCGGGCACCGCTTGGGTAAAAATGGGTTGAGCTTTTTTTTGCTCGGAGCCGAGTTGAACTTTTGTTAGATCAAAAAATTTAGGTCGAGCCTTTTTTTTTTACTTATAGCCTGTAGGCCTGCCCCAAGATGCCTGCTGCTTGAGCCACATGCGCAGGCTCGGACTCGGGCCAACGTCCCAAAATAGGACTCGGTAAAATCGAGCCGACACGTGCTTTTTTCGGACTGAGCCAGCCACTCAAATTGACACCGTAGATCCACTGCCCTAATGCGTACTGCTGCTGCCCAGTTAACTCTTCTTGTTCCAGTCATGTTCTTCAGCACCTTCCTTCGTATATACGTAATCAAGAATTATGAATGGATTTTGAAATCATGATTCTGTATGTGATTGTGCTACAGACCTAAGCAACTAATAATCAAGGGCTCCAATTGGCTTTCTTCCAATTTTAACAGTAAATTAAAATGACACTAAAAATAATTATTATACCTACTTAAGTAGTCCAAGCATTAAAAAAAATTGGTTTGTCGACTCCCAAAGTTTTGAATTTTATCTGTTCTTCATATTTCACAAAAGCGATTACTCATATATTTCTGCGTACGAAAAAACATCTTTACTCCTTACAAAGATACAAGAAAAGCTTTGGAAACTAGAACAAAAACATCCTTAAGTTGAGGAAATATTAAAGTTCTCTATATACAAAGAAATAGGGGTATGGGGATTCAATTCAATTAGGACCCCAACAGCTCAAATACATAACTGTTCTAAGTGATTCCTCAGCTTTCTTCAACTTCTGATCTTCCTTCATCTTTTTACATAGAACTGTTGAAGAGGGTACTCCAGAGAGTCTCTTAGTCTGAGTGTATGATCTGAGGCTGTTCTTGGCATTTTGTTGCAGTAGCCTCATTGAATAATTCCATCTACAGAATCCCTGATCTTTCAGTGCCTCAAC